TCGTGGACTAAATCTACCCTTTATCAGCGCAGTGACTGCAGATGGACTTTTAGGATAAACCGTCCTAAGGTGTGCACGGTGGTTGTGGCAAATGCTGCTGCTGGTGCGGCGCTGCTGTTACTGAGTCAAGTCAAGTCATCAATGCGCTTTATGCACTCATGAAGAGTGAATACTCAGCTACAACACACACACACGCTGACACAAATATAATCAACTCAAGATATGGAATATGTGTAAGGTGCGCCACCAATTTAAATATGTGGCAGTGTTCATTGTCTTTTTTGACTGTATCTTGATCCCTCAGAAAACGTGGCAAATAGGGAACAACTGACGTACCGTAAGCTCGTGTGCGGGTATAAATGGCTTTGTACGTTTGTCTGGTCGAAGAAGTCGAGATGCATTCCGACAATGGAGAGGATGACTAGCATCGGTTAGTCTCTTGAAAGCCAGTTTTCCACAGGAGCGTGCATAATTGGACACAATGATGTCAGTGAACACTAGCATATAAATTCCGTTGTATCGAGTAACATACTTCAGCGACCTGTTGCTCGCTTTGAATTGCCCGTTTCAGAGTTTTGGAAATAACACAGGTGAGCAATACGTCCAGTGCGGTATGTCGCAAGCAGTAACAGACCGTAGAATCAGGCAGCGAGGCACGGATGAAGGCCTGATTCGGGAGACTTAGAACATTAGTCTCCTGAACTTAGTGAAAGTTTCATTCACGTGATGTGACCATTCGAGATCCCGACTTAGTGTAACTCCGAGATATTTCACTAACGTACAGGAGTTTAGACTGTCACTGTCAATACTAAGATGCGCGGTGTGTTTCGGGAGCTGTTGATAACAACTTTCTCTTAGATAACGAGAAAACATTTTTACATGCGTCGAGTGAAAGACAGGGGGATTTGGACCAGGAGGTGTGGTTGTCCAAGAAGGATTGCTAGTTGGCCAATGAATTTGTGGTGTGATTGTGTACCCCAAGGATCATGTCATCAGCATACTTCAGTATGATGGCTTCTTTAGGAGCGGGAATGGAGGTAATGTAGGTGGAAACTAGGAGTGAGGACAGAATAGCTCCCTGAAGAACACCTGCACTTGTGGTAAGTGAGGAAGAGCTTTTTCCACCAATCTTGGTAAACTGCGTACGATTGGCAAAGTAGTCTGTAAGAACAGATACTAATGCAGGTTGAACTCCGGGAACTAGCAGATCATGTAACTGCAGCTCGCGGTTTACACAGTCGAAAGCATTGCTGTAATCTAGGAAGCAGACCCGCTTGGGTTGGTTTTTTCTATCGAGTGATGAAAGCACGGAGTGTACAAGATGGGCTAATGCATACAACCTAGACTTTGAACTGCTATAGGCGAACTGAAAAGGATCATTTGAGTTGGTTTGGACAGGCATTCTTTCAAGTATGATTCGTTCTAATGTCTTAAGAGCCACAGACGTACAAGCATTGGTCCGGTACTTACAGGTTCATTTTTTAGCACAGATGTAATGCGGACGCTTTGCTAGCGGTTGGCTACCTTGTGTTGATGTAGGCACATGGTGTAGAGTTCAGAAAAAGCCTGTGCTAAGACATTAGCACGTTCCTTGACTGGAGTGTCTGGAACGTGTGTTCCAAGAGGAGCGTTACCAATCAGGGAGACTCTTGCGACTCGCACCATATTCACCTTCACTGAACCCCATGGAAGGCATTTGGAGTGTCATCAAGGCAAACGTAATGTATTTGAATTGTACTTTGTTGTAGCGAAGTCTCGTATAGTGAACTCTAATGTTGATCCATGAAAGTTCAAAGATTCATTCTTTCTTCATTATTTTTGCAACAGCAGCAGGAAATGTGGACCTGAAATCACAATGATGGGGGCTTGGATCGCTTGCCAGTATAAGAGGCAGCACCCTCGTTAGGCGAAATTCTGCATCGTCATTGGAACTTGACCTGATCTAACATGTGTACATGCGTTCCCCAATCACTATCAAATCGAATAGTGCTTCATCTAACTGACTATAACGTTTGGTGCATGTTGGTTGTCCTTGTGTCATAGCAAGCCAGTTCCTTGATGATTCCAGAGTACTCACGTATTTGATTGACCGTGGTGTGAACCAGTTTGCAGTCTAACCAACTGGCGCTGGGAGTAAATACACCCCATCGAGTTGTTTCTTACAAGGATAGCCACATTATCATCTATGTTGCCGTAGAATCCACTACCGTCCTCCTTCCAATCGCATGTTGGATGACGTTCAGTAGTTAATAATGTACGTAAGTAAGCGTTCCCTAGCTTTACTGTCAGGAAGCTGACTAAACTGGAAACCTCATTTGCTACTTTAAATCCTCGTCCGCGCCCACTTCACGTGGTTATATGTACCTCGGAGGAATGCAAGGCGCTATCGCGATTTTCGTTTAAACTTCGGATATTAATTTTAGTATACAGCAGACTTTCTCCTATCGAGTAGGCAATCAGTAGATGAACAAGGTTTGCGGGTAGTGGGTTTCCAAGTTGTCAGCCGGTGGTCCATTTCCACCTGCTGAGGCTTTTGCTGGGAGCGCACGATCCGAAACTGATCATGCCAATCTCCCTCAGACAGTGCTTAGCATTTTGCGTAAGCCAAGGAATCATGTGTATGTTGGGTCTGCTTCTAGACTAATCTCATCACGACATACTTGCATTCACTGAAACGTGGTTGTCTCAGGATGTTATGGACAGTGGAGTACATCTACTTATCTACGCTCTGTTTCGGTTTGATGGCTCAGTTGGTTGACAACGCGTAGGTGTTGTAAGGAACAAATTCGCGTAATCTTGAACAATGCGTGGTACTCCCAGCTCAGATCAAAACAATATACATGGTTCGCGGCATCCGGTTTCGGATTTGCCTGTCACTGTGGCCAGCCACAGGACGCCTGCGCCTACAGAGGGACCATGGGTGGCTTGCGCTGCACCACCCACAGCTCCAACCACACACCCCATATCCAGTGTAAACCCGAAGGAATAAGACCGGGAGGCATGTGGATGGGAGCCACGTTTCATCAACGGAGCCGGCCCACACTCCTTCACAGGCAAACACAAGCACGCTGTAGTTGGGGAATCAAGCGCACACAAGGCGGTGGCTGGACCGTTGTCCGCTCCACACTGAGTGCATGGAACCGCTCTTTGAGCCCAGCACGGCCACAAGGACCGTGCACCTCGTCCCCTCCAGCAACGACCAACTGTCTCCTGGAGCCAGTATGAACGAGGCAGTGGGTAATAGACAGGTAGGCACCTTGTCAACATGCACATCAAGCGCAGCCACACCGGGGATATCAAACAACAGCCATTCACTTTAAACGACAAGCTGAAATAAAATAAATCCAATAATGCATAGAGATACGGTGGCATAACTCTTCCGTAAATTACCATATGAAGTAAGTTGATTGGCAACGAATCCACGATAAGTAAGAAATGTCCACAAGTTACTTAAAATGCTACAAACGCAACAAAATTACCGAAGATAAGCGCAATTAGCGTAAGCAACGTGGCCAGTTCATAGAGCAGTACTCAGATAGGCAGAACAAACCAAATAAAGTGGAATGAAATTTATCCAGCTTAAAGAGACCTAGTTTAAGTGTAAGTTGGTTTAGCCCAACTGCGGTGAAGAAACATCAAGAATGCAACATCAGATTCAGCTGTGTTGTGTGTTGTGAGTAAAACAATATACATAAAACTAACTATATGGACAACAGTATGTTTGCAGCTACGGTCCGTGCAGCTGTGTACTGGATGTTGGTGATTAGGTCACTTTCCCAAAGTAACAAGTCAGGCTAAATACGTTACATCGCTGTGCTGATGGCATCGGACTTACGACGTGCTGGCTCCTAATTCAAGCTTTTGATCTTAACTGTTGTGGCCGACTTCATCGGTATTACAACACAGATATGGTTGTTTACATTTTGCGCGGCGGTGAAGTATCAGTGAATGTCATTGGAGTGTTACGTAGTTTTTCACACACAAAATTGCATAATTCATACAGTAAGGTGCCCGTGGTCGGCGCAAGTGGCTTATTTCCTGCTGTCGCCCGACCAAAGGGCCTGGTTAATGTATGTCTGACGCTGAGTTTTCTATGGGGTAATGCTACTGAAACGGCACAGTGGAAACTGGAAGGATGCTTTTCACTAATAACTCCTAATATGCAGACGATATCTAGTCACTTGTAACTGCACATTGGCCACAGACTGTGGGCACCTTATCCCCGAATGTTCGCTGTGGGCTTTTATAATTGTGTAGAAGCGAAGTGTCAGTACAAAATTTTAATGTGCTGCAGTTAGTTGGCCTACTTCGGATCCATTCATATCTGTTTTTCTCAACGATTATAGTCGTCACACTTGATTGATTGAACTCCTTACCTCCTGCTCGTAGTCGTTTGATAGTATCCGGAAGGTGGGTTATTTTCACACAAAGCTTTGCTAAAGTGCTTGTAACCTACATCTCGGAGGCATCGACATTTAGTTTTTCTTGCTTCTTACTTGCTCGGTTTAGCTTTACTTATGCCCATATGCATTGTCCAATATGTCCAATTGGGCCGAAGCGTTGACGTATGCCGCGCTACTGGTGGTGATCGCGTGGCAGCGAAGCATCAATGTGGCACACCTTCGTGCTGCTGGCGCCTTTTTTTTACTTGTTCGGTGGTCCAGCTTCTGTGCATTATGCAACGACTCCATTCCAAAGCTATCTGGTATTGAGCAACGCAAAACTTCTTTTAGTTAGTTCCAATTCACGTCAGTCGTGGAAACTCACCATTTTATTGAAAAGTACACTGGTGCTCACGCTCGATCTCTTTGAATCGAGCATCTCTTTATGTAATATTGTTTTCAAACTGATCACCGCTGGTCAATGTGAAGCGTCACATCGAAATCGACTAAGCTCATTTCGTTTGATGAAGCCTTTTATCAAACGTGATGCGCAACTCTATCTTGTTTATTGAATGTTTTCTGACCAGGAACTCATGCACTTCTATCTCCCTTATTTCAGCTCCATACAATGGTATCTCTGTCAGTGTTTATAAGACGGAATGCGTATGTCCCTAACTTTTTCATTATACAAACTATCTAGATCCTGTTGGAGTCACGTAAAGATGGGTCCACCGGATGCAATACTCGGTGTCACTGAAGCTTATAAACGCGACAAAAATCCAAAGAAAGTAAACCTCGGAGCCGGTGCTTACAGGGACGACGATGGCAAACCTTTTGTCCTCCCTTCCATACGCGAAGCAGAAAGACGCATCATGACAAGGTGTTTGGATAAAGAATACGCGGGAATCGCTGGTATATCGGAATTCTGTAAATTGGCTTTTGAGCTTGCGATGAGTGAAAAGTCTCCATTTGTCACCTCCGGCCAAGTGTGTTTTATCTCCCTCCTGGGGTTCCTTTTTACTCAAGCCACACTTTACATCAGCTCTTTCAGCTTTTCATTGTCACCTCGTTTTCTCTTGTTGCAAACTGTCGGAAAAATTACGACTGACAACATTGAGGACAATTGCCTACTTGTCAACACTGAGTGCCACAGTGACTTAGTACGCAGTAAGCATAGTCGGCATTATTCTGCCTTTGATGATAGCGGAAACGAGACACTTTTACAATTTTCGGCCACTTGTGGTTGAAATTTACAGTGCAGCTGTACGTACGACCCTACCGCACGGTTGTGAAACCTGACCGCTTTGATCGGCAGACGTAGAGAAGCTTGTCATATTCGATCACCGGTGGCTTCGCAGTGGCTCATATCTGGTGGGAATACCGTGTGAACATTGAGTCTGCTCGGCGTCTTGTTTGTGGCACAGGAATAGGAGGTGAACCGGCCAGCACCGTTATTTCACGCACCAGGCTCCGCTGGCTTGGCAACGTGTTAGGCATGCCAGTACAGTGATTCCTGCGACGTGATTTGTTTGCTCGCCGGGAGTTTGGATGGAAGAAGAGGTGAGGCGGCCATGCGATGACTTAGTCATGAAGAATGAAGGCCCTTAGTTTGAAGTTGGTCTCGATTAAGGTCTGAAAGACGATGAGCACGTTTGGCTGGATACACTTGTTGACATGTCTAGCATCCGATCTCACTGACTATTTTATTGCGAGTTTCTTTGTCTCTCTCCATCCAACCACGATTTCATTTCCTACGACACAATAGCCGGTTGTTTGCTCTCTGGAACCATGCCCATCCGTTACTGTAGCGCAACTGGATGCCTGTGTTGCGTCCTTTTTCTAACATCATGCATCGTGGCACAATAGCTGAGGGGTTTCCCTCCTCTGCTTAACGTGTATAATGATGAACGATGACTCATGTTTTACTTTGTCGTGCCTAAACATAGGATGCATTCGGCTCACTGGGGCTGTCATCCATTCATTTGAGGTTCATCATTCTGCCGGTCGTCCGTGCTTTTATTTCTTAGCCGATCGCGAGGATGATCTTTCAAACAAATTTTGAAAAAGTAAAGAGACAGCTCTGGTGCATCCCGGGTGTCTTGGGAAACTCAGGAGATCGATTATCATAGACCCTGAGGGTACATCGAGGGTCTCAGTAGATGTTACGGAGATCCATCGCACAGGCCGAGAAGCGTGGTACTAGAGTGGATCGATCGAACTCGAGTAAAGATCAAAACGCGAATCTATGTGGAACCAACGGCAAGTTAGACCATGAACTTGCAACATTTGAGTTGTGCTAATTAATACTAATCAGCATCTCCAATATTGTTGTGTTAGTAGTTGCCTGCAACCTATTTATTGCGCCATGTTCTCACACAATACGAATCCACAACACAATTCTGGTAACGGTCAGCTGCACGATAGCAGCAGGTTAGCCATGCATTCAGCGGCACCACAACATATTTCTGGGGCATCACAACATAATTCTGGCGACGGGAGTTAAACTTAATCGAGATGGCAAATCCAGCAGAGGATCTGAAAACTATTTTGCCACAACAGCAATAGCAACGGTAGTAGCAGTTCAAGGCCTCACAGCTGCGTGTGATCGAGACTTTCACACGAACACTGTTACTCCAGTATACAGCCATCTGTTCGGAGCAAATGCAGACGCTCCTTCAGATCCAGCAGACAATGTTTGAGGGAATACGGTAGCACTAGACAGAGATGCTGACACAGAAGTTGAACATTATATATATATATATATATACGTATATATATATATATATATATATATATATATTGCAACAATCCATTGAATGAATATGGTGGGTTTGTAAAGATATTTGTTGTAGTGGCAACCGAATGAATGACGCGACTAGATGCGACTAAATGGCACGGCAGAGGTGAAGCTGAAATAGGGACAACGCCAAGCCAGCGTCTTCTGTTATCCTGTAGGTCGGTCATGGCTAATCCTTCCTCCCCCCGCCCCCAACATATACTCCTTCTTATTGTCTGCTGACTCCGTGGTACCCGTCGTAGATTTCGCCTTTGCTGCTCCCTGACCCTATGTTTTCCTAAAATGGCTGGAGGGTTACGGTTCTCAGTATGTAACCTCTGTACTTTAATCACGTCTTTTCGTTCACAATTTGCATATTTGCTGTGAACGCGGTTTAACATTCGGCTTTGTTTGGTACCTGGGCACGATTTAACTAAGCGATACCCGAATGAGTCTTCTCTGTTATTGGAATCAGTCAACTAGGTGAGTGTCTTCACAGGAACACCAGGGTAATTCGGCTCTTTCTTTTGCACAATAACTAGTGGGGTGAAAAATCACGGCGTTTGTGCCGTAATACTATTCACTTAGACCACAACAAAAGTGAAAAGCAACAGAAGGAAACCAAAACGGGAAACTGTTTTGCCTTATTTTATATAATTCCTTTACAACGAAATCGTGGTTAGAGAAAGATAAGCGGAATTCCGTGGCGGATGAAACAGACGCCACTGATGTCTGCTCTTCGCCATGTCAATAATTGTGTTCGATCAAACGTGCTCATTGCTCTTTGTCCCGAAATTTGGTATCGAGGCCAGAGACCAGCTTCAATGTGAGGGACTTCTTTCCTCTTGACCAATTCCTCGGTTGGCCTCCCCTCTTCTTCTCTCCACACCCCCTGTCACGCTAGCAATTGACTCTCGGGAGTTAATGTGCTGGCATGCGTATCACGTGATGAAGCCATCGGTGCATGGAATGTTGGTGCTGAGCGGCTCATTTGCTCTTCCTGCGCTATAAACAAGACACCAAACACACACATTGCTCACGTGGTGTTACCACCAGATGGGAGCTAATCTATGAAAACACCGGCTACTGAACGTAACAAACCTCTATAGTCTTTAGATTTGATGGGTCAGTTTTCACAACCGTACCGACAGACGGCTGCACTGTAGAATGTGCTTTTCATTACTAGACGTATCCCGTGCCAGATCCAGTGGTGGGGAATATTGGCCAAAGTACCTCGGACTGTGCGGTCCGTGATCTCATCTTTTATTTGCATTACGAAGTCCGAATAATGTCGAATAATTACGAAAGATCATTTTGTTTCGTTGATGGAGTTGCGTCGCAAGGATGCCGTACTAATACTGAAGCTTGACAAAGGTTCCAGAGTCGTTGCGATGAACAAACTGGATTAGCTGCAGAAAATGCAGGTAAGTCGATTTACTAGAGATTTGTCTGGCCGTGATAGTACCGAAACATTTAAAAAGATGATAACCCGTGAGCTGCGAAGTCTGCAAAGACGGATTGCTCGATGTCGATACCATGATACAACTGCGGCCGCGTGGTTCCAGACTTCGTCGGATTCATGGTTTGCCGAAAGTGCATAAAGGAGGGGTTCCATTACGCCCAATCCTTTCCATGGTGGGAGCACTGCACCATACATTGGCAGGATGGTTATCCAAGCTACTTGAGCCTATACGACGTGAGTTTGCACTGCATAGCTTGAAAGATTCATTTGAGTTCGGTGGAATGATTCGGAATCTAGACCTGAGCGGTTAGCGACTAAAACACTTAATTCTTATCTGTACAAAAGATGTTCAATTTTCTTTCAATGGAAGTCTCTATCGGCAGATCGAGGGTGTAGTGATGGGCAGTCCACTTGGTCCCATTTTGGCTGATATCTTCGTAGCTTATCTAAAGAACACCAAATTGTGTCACTCTATACAGGAAGCTCGCTTGTACGCTCGATATATTGATGGCACCTATGTGGTGCTGGACGAAGCTCAACAAGCAGAACGCATACTCAAAACACTTCATGAATGTCACCCAGAGGTGTTCACCATGGAAAGCGAAACATCAAGAAAGTTTCACTTCTTAAATGTACTTTTGGAATGACCAGTTGGGTCGCTCCTGTGATCAATTTATCACAAACCGAGCTGGACGGGGCAATACCTAAACTTCGACAACTGTTTCCCCATGAGCTAGAAGCGCTCTTTGGTTCGTGCATCTTTTGTGAGAGCCCGCCTTATCAGTTCAGAGGAAACGATTGAGGAAGAACTACAGGATATCGCATCCACCCTATGTGAAAATATTTGCCCTGACAACTTCATTGCAAGTTATGGGGCGAAAACCAGGCCGCACGATGAGCAAACTTACGCTTCAAAGAAGAAGGTATTCATTGCACTGCCTTACAAAGGGGAGGCAACTAATAGACGTTTCTGCAATCGCTTGCGTCATGCCATAAAGAGGTGTTACTATCCAGCTGAGCTTGTGTTGCTCCACACATCCAAAGTGCTATTATATGAATCCAATTTGGACAGGCCTCATTCTACTTTCACCGCCTCATGGAGGTCGCGATGGTTCTCCTTCGTATTCGACTCAATCGATCTTCAGTGGCCAAGTATGACTTTACCTGATCCGGTACATTGGGCAATATTCCGTCTTTCAGATTCTTGGCTACGTCACTGTTACTGTTTTCCAACTACCGTATCATCACTGAAGACCAATTTCACCCTACAATTTACCTAGAGGGAATACAGACAGTGTTAAGAACGAAACGGATGAGATCCGTACTGGGTGAACTAGCAAGGTTCAGATGTGTCCATTTTTTCGTAAATTTACTGCGGCCAAGCTCTTTCAGTACGCCATGGCTCATGAGGTTACCCTCTTTCTATGTACACTACACCCCATCACTATACCGTTCTTAGTGCGTCGTCCGTGCTTCAAGTTATTGCTTTGTGAAGGATCTTTGCCCCATTCGTGCTTTTGTGTCCACTTGGCCGATTATATCTCTCTGTTTATGTCACACATGTACCACGTATGTGGTACACGATGTCCTTGCATACATCTAATCGCCTTCCTCTGGTGATAGTGACAACAGATACCAGCTTTCACTCGAAATCTAAGCCGGACTGTTGTAGCTCTAGTTCACCAGGATCCCATGCGCTCTTTCATGGCAGTTGTCCCGAATATTTATCTCGTGGGCTGTGCATGAGA